ATTATAGCATGCTAACTAGGTTATGTGTGCGTAGTTGTTAGAAGTTTTTATAGTTATAGTTCTTTAATTAATTACAGGGTTATATGTTTTAAGCTAGTTATAGCCTAAAATTACATTATATTTACCTTCTAGTTTAAGTATGTTTATAGACCTTTATTTACTTATATTAGAGGTTTTAAGATCCTTTTTATAGGTTTCTAGGTTAATTTATCCTCTACTATACTTAATTAATAATGCATTAGTAAAAGTTACCTTAAATAGTTCTTTCTTTATACAAAATAGTATGCCTTATTTGTCTACTTAATTTTTATCTATAGCAGTAAAGGTGCATCTGCTATCTATAAGGGCTAACCTAGGCTATCCTTTATATGTGAAGGTGGTTGTTAGGCTGTGTCTTATCCCTTATTTTATAGCAATTACTGCTAATATGTTGTGTTTAACTTTTTTATTAAAAAAGGGGTAGAAATTAATATCTTATAGATTATTATTAAACTTGGTTTTTTTTTTTTATAGATTTAATGTTTTTAGTTGCAGTAGTTAGCTACTTTACATTTATAATTTTTAACTAAATAATGTAATGTTAGGTAGTCTTCTTTTTTTACTACTTTCTACTAGAAGTAGTAGAACCTACAGTTGTCTTATTTTTTACACACTGCCTATTCTTCTTTTTTATGTAGAGGGGCTGTTTAGTAGGTGTAGCAGTTTATAGTTTTGCAGGCTAAGGCTGTTCTCTGCTATAGGCAACTGTTGTAGTTCTTTTCCTATATAGGCTACTATTCTGCTTAGTGTTTATTGTCCTAGTGTTTAACATGGTATTATTATGTGCACTAGTACTAAAGGTACAGACATTTGTTAAGTTTATATAATGTGTTAAGAGGACTTTCTTAGGTCTACTAAGGGTATTCTTTTGTTTATACTAGCTGTACAGGGTAGTTCTTCTACTAGCAACTGTTAGTGCTGTAGGTACTGCTTCTACAAAGAACATATTGTCTGTAGTTCTGTTGTATTACAAGAGCTTTTTTAAAGATTACTAGGCTTAAAAGCAGTGTCTTAGGTTTCTTAGGCGCTAGTTATAGTACTTTAAACTTAGCAGGTTTGCCTAGCTATTCTAGCTTTTAGTTTTTAATCTTAATAAAGAATTGCTATTACTTTTTTTTATTTATAATATTATATTTAACTTTAGCTATCCTTTATATAATATTAAACATTAAGTAGTTATTACTAATATTTATTTAGTAAAGCAAGACTATATAGTTGCTTAGGTAGTTATGTTATAGCCTACACTTCTAGCACCTGCATCTCTAAAACTGTTAGAAAAGCTCTTTTGCTAAAGTACTAGAAGTTTAGTCTTAAAAAGAGAATTATTTTTTTTCTTTTTAAACATTTATAATATATCTTTAAATCTAAGTTTTTTTTTTATATTTTTTAAAGATTGCAAGGTCCTGCAATACTATATTAAGGCTACTAAAATTTTAAATAACTACCTTCTAATATACTTTAGGGCAGTTATTTAAAGAATAGTTTCTTTTACATTACTAGTAGAGTTTGTTATCTAGTCTTCCCTATATTTTCTTGTCTATAAGGCTGTATTTAGCAGTAATAGCTTTTATTATTATAGTAGTATTTTTATTCTTCCCTTTTTAAGAGTTTAGGCAGTTTTAGTAAAAATGTCCTACTTTTTTATAGTTTAGGCAGGCCTTGTTCTTTAGCTACTTTTGTTGTTTCTTTGTTAAGGGCAGCCTATTACGTCCTAGAACTTAGCTCTTCTTAAAGGGGGGGCTCTATGTATACTTTACATAACTAAGGTCTATTAGTTTTTTATTATATTATAAAAGCTTTTTTTTCTTAGGAACAAACTCTAGTTTCTAGGGGGTTCTTTTTTATTTCTTTTCTCTCTTACGCTTCTTATAACAGTTGTTATAGGTTATTACTTACGTAATAAAGTTCTTAAAAGTAGTTAGTTTTTTACTATGCATAAATTTATCTTTTATAATTTTGCTTAATTTGTTATAGAACATGCAGCAGAGAGCTTTCTAGTCTGTCTATCTGTAGATAGCCAGCTGTTCTCTAAAGCGCGCTGCATAATTTTAGACTAGGCTAGTCCCTTGTTTTATAGTGTCTAGTTTATTAGCTGCAATCTTTTTTTTATTAAAGGTTTTATAAATAGCTGTTAAAGCTTCTTTAAAGTTTTTAATGTTACTAAATTTTTTTTTTATTTTAGGTGTAAGTGCTTTACTATTTACTTTAAAGTTTATCTAGTTATCTGCATAGAGTTAGAACTAGATTGCAGAGGGGCCTTCTAGGTGTAGTCTTATTTAGGATATTATTTTTGTGTTAGTCTAAAATGCTTCTTTATTATATTATATATAGAGGTAGCATCTTATAAAGAATAGTTAAAGGTCCTTTAGTAATCCTTTAAAAGGCTTTAAAAAGGCTAGTCTTAAAGCTTTCTTAGCTATAATGCTTGTTTTTTTAAACAAGATGTTTTAGATTTTTGCTAGCTCTACTTATAGTTTATGTATTTAATAGGCTTAGTTAGTTGTTTCCTAAGGGCTTAAAAGTTTAAAGAGGCTTTATAATTTTATTACTTTTTAGTAAAGGTTAGTAACTTTTTTTCTAAGTTCTAGTAGTTTACTAACCTTATTACTAAACTGCTAGAGTCCCTTAATATTATCTTAGATTAAATTAATTTATTCTGCTAAGACAGCTTTACTTTAGGTAGGAACTTCTATAGATCCTAATAGTGCGGCGTAGGCTATGTTAGAATTTAAGTTGTGTTAGGAAGTTGCTATACTTTTTAAAAAGGTAGTGTTTAATATTATAATTTTTGCTTTAAGAAGCACTTAGGTCTTATAACATTCCTAGGGGGGAAGTAGGACAGAGAGAAGAGGCTAATCTAGTAGGATGTACAGTCCTACGTATAGGCTATTAGGCTAATAGAGGAAGGAAGGATAACTAGATTATAGTTTGCCCTATGTGCAGCAGTAGGGAGGCTAGGGTTAAACAGTCCTGTTAGACAGGGTTAGAGGTATATATAGTGTAAGATATATAAATAGTATTACAGCTCTTTAGAAAGCTAAATACTACTTAGTCTATATAATAAATAAACTAAACGTTAAACACACCTTTTAAAGGTTATTTAATGTAGGAACTATATACATGTGCTAGGGACGCTAAGGGGAGTTAGCAGGAGTTTATAGGAGCCTGCTAAGAGGGGCTCCCCTAAGCTCCCTTAAGCTCCCTGAACTCGCGGCCTGTCCTCCTACTAGACAAGGCATTCCTCCGTGATTGCAGGCAGCCGTACCGTCTCCGCATCCTCCGATTGGTCCGTAAGCGAGCCCTGACCTAAACTAGCTAGATTGTGGAGCACTGCTGGTGGGGTTACGCTGGTCCAACCGTAGACCGTAACACTACTATGCTTTATACACGCTTATAATACAGTAATTACTTTTAGTAATATCTAAGAAGGGTTTTAAAGCGCTAGTCTAGTCTTATTTAACCTAAAATAAGTTAAAATAGCTTTTAATATCTAGTTATATACTTTATTACTACTACTACTTATTAATAATAAGCCTTAGCAGTTATAAACTTTAAGTAATACTTTTAAATTTAGGTTATAATTAATACTTATAAAAGTAAAAATTTAAAGGCATATAAATAGCTTACTAACATCTATAGTAAAGGCCTTTAAGAAGGGTTTAAAAGGGGCAGCAATTATTGCGTATAAGCTAGTGTTAGTATAAAAAGAGATTATAAAGCTTTAAGCAGTAAATAAGGCTACTACATCACATAAATTATATAAAAAAACGTAAATTTAAGCAAAAAAGACCTTAATAGTTAAAGATAAGGCTTATTTAACTACTTTAAAGAAGTTTAAAGCGCGTTGTAATAGGAAGAAGCTAAACACATAAGTGCGCGCTAAAGAAAGTAAGCTAAGTTAAAAATAATATAAGCAGTGTAATTAGACTAGGTATAACTTATATATATATAAGTAAGTAGTAAAAGTAGACTTTAAATAATATTTTATGTTGTATTACTCTATATAGGGCTAAAGTAGGCTGTTTTGCGCTAGAATAGGGTGGTTTTAGTAGAGGCTTAGCAAAAGTGGCTGGCTAACCCGTGTGGCCGGCCAACCTGTTAGGTACGTTACCTTTTATAGTTTGTAATAACTAGAGCAAGAATAGAGAATCTACAAGCAGCCTAGAAGAGAATAGCAAGAGTGTACTAACTATACTATAAGTTAGCTAAGGAAGCAGTAAACAGTAAAATTAAAATAATAACATAAGTAAATACACTATAAACCTTAAGACCTAACATTTAGAAAGATGACTATACATATCTAGATATAAAGAACTTAAGAGAAACTACACTAGTAAAGAAGCTAGCAGAAAGACGCATAAGACTATATAAAGTCCTGAATGTTTAAGAACAAGACTATAACCTAGCACCGTCCTCTCCTGCGAGGCCTAGGCTTCGCGACGGCGAGCAGCAGCCACATCAGCTAAGGCAGCGGCCTCACGTTCCAGCGCGGCGCAACAGGCCCCGCGCACAACCTCCATCGCTTAAAGAACCTTTAAGCGGTCGCGTTTAAGCCTCTTCTAAGCCTAGTTAGAAATAAAAGCATTGCAACAACTTCCTTTCCTTACGCACTTAACGCACTTGTTAGATAAAAGGGTTAACTCGCACTTAGCATGCAAAGAACAGCAAGGACTGTAGGGAGCAACCCCCCATAAACTAGGGAGGAACCGCCCCTAAGCCGGGGGTTAACCGCTTGTTGGCATGGGCCGCCTAATTTTAGTGGGTCTAAAACAATGGCATTCGAGTCCATTTCGAACGCACGGCCACATGTGTGGTAGCGTATCTAAAACACTAGTAAATAGGGAATTATTACGCTAAGCAGTAGGTCTTTTGCTGGTTTGTAATTTGTGCGATTCCTTAGCATATTTAATACCCTAGCCAAAAAAAATTTAGCCTTGCCCCACCTTCGTTTTAACACACACGTTTCATTTCCCCCCAACTCCTGGTTTGATTGATCAATTAATGTGAATGCAAACTAAAAGAAACCTTGGACTTCTCCTTCAAATATAGACGGCGACAGTCTTGCCGCAAATCAACATGTGCGGAGTTCTCGCTCTCATTCTAGCTAATCCTTCGTCCGGTGCCGCCAATGAGCTTTATGAAGCACTATTTTCTCTCCAGCGTAAGTGGCTCTTGAAGGTGGTGTTTATTACTTCCTTTCGCTAATGCCAGTGTCCAGATCGCGGTCAAGATGCTGCCGGCATTGTCACATCCGCACCCGGAGGTCGGCTCCACATGTACAAAGGGAACGGAATGGTTACTGAGATCTTCACCGACGGCGCCATGTTCGAAAGGATTCCTGGGAGTATGGGCATCGCCCATGTGCGTTACCCCACGGCTGGATCGAGCGCTATGGCAGAGGCTCAGCCGTTTTATGTCAACAGCCCGTACGGCATCTGCTTCGCCCACAACGGCAACCTGATCAACGCTGTAGAGCTCAAGCGCTACCTGGACTTCGAAGCCCACCGCCATATCAACACCGACAGCGACAGCGAGTTGATGTTGAATGTCTTCGCCGACGAGCTGAACAAGACTAAGAAGGCCCGCATCAATACCCAAGACCTATTTGATGCTTTAGGCCGCATGTACGACCGGTGTCGAGGCGGGTGGGCATGTACTGCAATGCTTACTGGATTTGGAGTCGTGGGATTCCGCGATACTCATGGTATCCGTCCACTAATTCTTGGTTCTCGCGTCTCCGAGCACGGCAACGATTATGTGCTCGCCTCCGAATCCGTGGCTTTGGACCAGATTGGTTTTAATGTAATTCGGGACATACTACCTGGCGAAGCCGTCGTCATCGAGAAGGGCCAGCCACCTGTTTTCCGACAAGTCTCACCCCACGCGAGCTACACCCCTGACATGTTCGAGTACGTTTATTTTGCTCGGCCTGAGTCGATCATTGACGGACTTGGTGTCTACCCTGCTCGCCAAAGAATGGGCCAACGACTTGCTTCGAGGATTAAAGAGGCTTGGGGCCAAGAGATCATCGATGAAATTGATCTGGTGGTTCCTGTACCCGAAACCGCATCTGTAGGCGCACCCATGGTTGCAACCGGTCTTAACAAGCCGTACTGTCGCGCTTTAGTTCGTAACACATATATCTTCCGGACCTTTATCATGCCGGATCAAAAAAGCCGTCAGCAAGGCGTACGCCGCAAGCTAAGCGCTATTAAGTCTGAGCTTAAGGACAAGGTAGTACTTCTTGTCGACGACAGCATCGTGCGAGGGACGATGAGTCGCGGAGCTATATCGATAGTCCGCGAAGCGGGTGCAAAGAAGATATATGTAGCCAGCTGCGCCCCAGAGGTCAGGTACGCTATAGTAATCTCGTCGCTGGTACCTCCACCCTACTAACTGTTCATTCTAGATACGCTCACATCTACGGTATTGACCTCGCATCGCCCAAAGAGATGGTAGCCCATGAGAGAGATAATGCTGCTATCTGTAAAGAACTCGGGTGCGACGGTATCATTTTTCAAACCTTAGATAACCTCATCGATACTTGCGCAGAGGTAGTTAGATCACAGGATCGTAGAGAGCCTCAATCTTTTGAAGTTGGCGTTTTCTGCGGGAAGTATGCTACTCTCGTTAACCCGGACTATTTTGACCATCTAGAGGAGATTCGAGCTACAGGCCGGTCACTTAAAATTTCCGAGCACACGCCGCAGATAGTAGCCTAGATGCACATAGGTTAAATGGGATAGAGCCATCGCTTTGCCCCTCTGCGCTTTCATGTATTTTGTGGACTTTTCTCAAACTTTTTAGAGCAATTAATGTCCTACGTGTCTCACGCGATACTGTCGCACGTGTCTCACGATATCATACCCATGTACTGCACTATTCACTCATTAGGCATAGCTCCTCTCTCGTACGGTATATAGTCAGCCCAGAGCTCTATCGAGCTCCTTAGACCTTACAATACACTGGTACAATCCACTTTGTTTGGATCTCACTACCCTGTCGACTCGCTTCCCATATGACCCCTTCTCAGCTCATGCAAGAGATACCACACCCATGTACTGCACTATTCACTCATTAGGACTAGCTCCTTTCTCATACAGTATATAGTCGGCCTAGAGCTCTCTCTCGCTCCTTAGACCTTACAATACACTGGTACAATTCACCTTGTTTGGATCTCATACCTTGTCGATTCGCTTACCCCATACCCCTTCTCAGCTCATGCAAGTATTAAATGGGCTTAGGGGTTCTATAGTTTAGAGTTTCAGTTATACATGTATCTGGCCTAGTGTATTATCCAACCGGAATATTACAAGTTAGAGTTACTCTCGTTTTATTGTTTTGTGGAGACGGTGTTGTGACCAGTCTATGTGCTCCTTCTCTACCTGTTCCGCACTGAATCCCTAAGAATCCTTGACAACGTCGCAAAGGAATCGTTCTCAACCAATGTGAAGTCGGTTGACTGGGCATCGAAGATGAAGTTCACTGCAAGCTTCACGCACTCTCTAGCTATGGTCGCTGTTTCCTGGTTGCCGTTCAGGACCATTCGCCTCGCGACCAAATCGCACATAGCGGCGCCGACGGCCGCTATCGTTTCCTTAAGACACAGAGACCCCCCAAAGGCCCGGTATGCATTTATAGAGTCGAACACTTCCGCATACGTCGAGTCGATACGAGTTTTGTATCCAAGGAAGAACAGTTCAGAGGCAAGATTACTTATGTCTAGGAACGTAGGTCCTATAGCGACGAATTCCCAGTCTATGACAAACCACCTTCTCGGCGTACTAGATCTAGTAGAGCAGGGCGTCGAGGGGCAGCTCATCGAGTCTGTTTCGAGAATACCGATCAAGGTGCTGCTGCTGCTGCTGCCGCCGCCGCAAGTTCATTGCCTCAACCTCAAACTATGCCTTCCTCACCGCCCATAGATATACCCTCCACGCCGCCTCCGCTTCCTCCATCAACGCAACCAGAGCCCGATTATATTATGGAGATCGTGTACACACTTCGGGTGAACAATAAGGAGGTAGAGGATGGAGTACGAGTTGAGCGCTGTTTCTTCCTGTACAGCGACTTTGAGCAGAGGATTGGTACGCTTATTGAGAGCCCTCTCTCTGGTATTAATGGCAGAGACTATCGGGTGATATCAAGGAGCGTTAACTTCAAGCCTCAGCACCGAGAAGCTCGTTGGCAGGGCCATACAATGTCGGACTTCTCGTTCTCGGAGGGTCTTCGTCTATTTAATCGAGTAGATGAGGCTGTAAAGCGCTACGAGAATGTAGAAGTTGTCGATTTTAAGGTGGAAGTCAGCTTGCAAGTTAATGCCCTAACTAAGGCGTTTCTGCGTAATAGGGCAGCCAACGAGCCTTCATCTGACATACCTAAGGCGACTTCTAATCTCCCTAATCTCGCTAATCTTGCACCCAGGACGAAGAGATTGACGGCCGAGGCGAGGGCTATAGAGAAAGTAGAATTACTCCAAACAACTGCCGACTTCCAAAGCCAGATTACTTGTATGTGGGAGTGCCGTGAGTGTAGTTGCAACAACTATATAAGATGTGCTACGTCAATCAAGCTACCTGCCAGCATTTTAAGATCAGGCCCGCGGATACGGAGAGCTAGGCGAGGGAAGATATTTAAGGGTGTAAGTGGAGTCTCCGTGAGCACCCCTCCTATGAACCTTATTAACCATTGGCGAAACTCTACTAGCAACCAGCTTAAGAAGAATCCCCACAATAGCCAGAGCCACAAGCGGAGGGCCTCGTCGTCGTCCACACAAGCGCATTGAGAAGCAACGCCTGCAGGGTCGGATTGAGAGGATGGACGAGGAGGAACAGATAAGAGCTAATCAGCTTGCCCTGCGTAGGTTTCAGCTTGATCCGCTTCGTGCTCAGCAACAAGGTCAATTCTATCCTACTACTACTCCTACGTATCTACCTCGAGCGCTTACTCCGCCTGCCACCATGGCCCCTAAGCTACGTCCATCATCTTCGAGCCCTATTACTGGTGGGGGGGAACGGGGATAGTCGAGCAATTGTAAAAGCCTTCTTCAAGTGGCTTATACGACAACAACCAGCGGACGATCGAGACGACTTTAAAGCCGCAGGGCAGGTAGCAATTAAGCAGAAGTGGCTAGTTAAGGATCTCCGCAATATAGCCAATTACTTAAGCCACGAGTACGCTATTGCTATACGCTTTAAGCTCAAGGATGGAGTCGTTCGCCACCTTGGGGAGGATTTAAAGCGTTTGAAGGTCTATCGCACAGCTAATAGCTTAATGAACCTTAGGTAAGACGCTGGTAGTACTTTCTAACAGCTTACAATATCAATAGTATCTCAACGCCAATCGGTCCCCGAAGCTATGCTCTCACCTGTTCGAGGATTTCCTACTCAATATATAGCCCGCCTGCCGCGTACTTAAAGTGCCTCCTTGCAAAGCGATCACACTTACTCTCTTGAATGGCCGCCCTCAAGAACCCTCCAAAATCTACAGCTGATAACCTTGTTCTAGTGTAAAATTAACTCCGTCGTATCCAGGCCTTCAAAACCGAAAACGTAAGCTCGATTAGGTTATAATCTAGTAAGTATGGAGGCAGGTATCGCACAATATCGCCGGCGGCTTCAATCACCTCATTAGTGTGGATAGCGACGTTGTCAAGGACAATAACCATTGGGCGATTGCCGTAAATGCGATTTAGCGTTGGAAGCAGGGAGTTCTCAATCCAATCAATAAACTGCTCCCTAGAGAAGTAACCTTCTTTGATGCCCATACACGGCAGATAGCCGTTAATAGTATACGCATGAAGTATCGCCCACGTAGAGCTTCTCTTAATATCCGCCATATATCGAGCTTCATGGCCAACTGGGGCATAAGCGCGGTGTCTCCAGCCGCCTTCTCATTAAAAATTGACTCGTCCAAGGAGACCAGATCCTCCTGCGCGTATCGTCTCATCTCTACGATAGGATTCTCGAAGCTCCTCACCCCGGTCGATGGAGATAGGCCGCAGAGTCCGTCTTGACCAGCTCATCTTGTGAAGAAATCGAGATACAGTAGCCCTATGGACGTGCACGCCTCGCTCAAGGGCAAGCCGGTGGACGATCTCGTCTTAAAACATCCATCCAGATCGAACTAATTCTTCAAATAGAACTTCAGCATCCTCTCAACCCTATTTTACTAGGCGCTCCAAGCTTGCCCTTAAGAGGAACTCGAAGGCTGCGGTGTGCGCGGATATTTGACTGTATATTATACACGGCCCTCTCAGAGCAACCCTCTCGATCTAATATAGCCAAAGGATGCCAGCCCAGCTCCAGAAAACGCCAAATATTTAGCCGAGTACGCGTAGAGAGCCCACGCTCCGTAAAAGTAGGAGGACGAGGAGAGAGGGATTGATCGCGCGTGCGGGGGATGCGTGCGACGCCGTGGGCGCGATACATAGCATGGTTGCCCGTGGAGGCCTCACTAAAACACCAAATCTCAGCTTCATGTTTGTTCCCAATTAGGAAGTACCTACGATCGTCAAAAACAGGCTCACGAGGTGGTGGGCGGCAATTGCATGGTTGTCTGGGTTTGTATAGTAGATTTGGTGTGTGCGGAGACTGACGCGCAAAAACCCGCGGCCGCAACAGCCGCGAAGAAGCGATCCCCCCACGAAAGCCGCCCCACCCCGGACCCGTTGCCGAACTTTTGGGGTGATCAACGCTCAAGCGTGGAGTTGTAGATCCCATGGTTGATTTATGCTGAAAAAGAGGCTCTTCACCAGGCAGGCACCAACACAGCAGCATGATCGTAATTTCCAGGTTTGAGGCATGCGGTAAGCTTATGAGTACCTACCAGACAGGAAGCTATGCAAATCTAGCCCTGGCTGCGACATCAAGTCTGCTGCAAAGGCGAAGTACCTGCAATTTATCCGATTTCGGGGGGGCGTCCGGCAACCCAGGGACCGATTCCGCCCTCACATAAACCCTTTTCCGGATTTGACCTCGATTCACACAGTGGTGCAACGTGGGCAATGAGTACCGTGTTTCATCGCCTAACGCACGGCCCCTCGTAACGCACGGTTTTGAGATGTTACCCCCATCAACTTTTAAAGCTGTACAGCTCTATAGGGCTTATAAAATAAAGCAGTTTTCTAGAGTTATAAGGAGAGCTTACTAATTAATTAATCTATCATACAAGAAACCTTCTAGGAAGGTTAATCTGCCTGCCACGTCAACTTTAGGCTAGAGTGGGCACAGCGACCTTGTCACGGTATCCTCCCCGGATCCTAGACATAACTGTATTAGATGCGTACTAGAGTATTATTAGTGCACGTCTAATATAAACACAACACAACATAGATATAAACTTAAGCATAAACTGCCTTAACACTAACTAAACCTAGAACAGGCTTAATTTATACTTAAAGCGCTTAGACTTCTAAGCTAAGTATTTAATTACTAATTTTCTTTTAAACTTTTTTATTTCTTACATAATGTCTTATACTTACTATAATACCTTACATAGTAATTAAACTAGACTTCTGTAAAGCTCTATAACTTTACTTATACATAATTATAACATTATGTTGTATTAAAACTTTAGCTAAAAATAGCCTTTAAATTTAATCTAATAAGCTTAGTACTTATATAACTCTAAGCTATTAAAGTAAGCTAAAAAGCTTTTTAAAAAGCACTTACTTTATAAAAAAGCTACTATGTTACAAACTTAAAAGCTTTTTAAAAAAACTTTAAAGAACAGCTTTATATTGTTAAGTAGTTTATTTTTACCTTAACTTTTATTATAGTAGTAAAAACTAAGAACTTACTAGCCTTAAAGCTTACTTAAAAGTTTAAAGATAGCTTAACTTTTTTCTATCTAATGCTGCCTATAACTTGTAACTTTTCTAACTTAGTAATAAAATCTAACTAACTTTTTAATCCCCTACTATTTAATAAAAAATAAAAAGACTTACTTTTCTTTTTACATAAGCTCTAATATAAACTTAAAAGAAATATAGACTAATTCTTTTTTAAACACTTTTAGTTACTATATGTTTACTTTTAACTTAACTATAATATAACAGCTTTAATTAACTTACTAATAAATAAAAATATTATTAACTTAGATTAATTTATAGTGTTTTTATAAGTAACTTATAAAAACTTAAATAAAAAGTTAACAGCTCTAAGTTACCTAAACACTTTATAATAAAAAAAAAAAAGCTTTACTTTATACTTTACTAAGTTCTACTAACTTATATTTAATATAGGCCTAAATAAGATAGGTCTAATTATAGCTTTATATAACTCCTTTTTAACTAAACTATAACACACTATAGTAGGAGAACCCCTTCTAAATAACTTTAATATGTATGTAAACTTAATTACTACTTATAATAATAACATAAGGTTTCTTTTTATATAAGCTTTAATACGCTCTTAAACTAGCGCAGTTGCAAATAAAAACTCTAATATAATAAAAATTAATTTAAATTATGCTCTAGTTAGTTCTAGAAAGTGTAAAAATTATAAAAAAAAAAGTTAATACTTTAAGTGTAGTAAGCATAGTTATATTTTTTAAAACTACTTTATTTTTTTTCTTTAAGTCTACATAAGTAGCGCTGCTAGCACTTATTAAAGATTTTTACTATTTTAATTTTATTTTTATAAAGGCTTTAACTTATATTTAAGCTTTAATCTTTTTTACTACTCTTAACATAGCTGCAGCTATAGTAGTAAAAGCCTGTAAAAAGGCTTATTCTAGGGCTAAGTTACTCTTTAGAACTAATTTAACACTAGATCTTTACTAACTTATAGGCTAAGTCTTTTACTAATAACTAAAAGTACTAAGTTAATATTTTTATATATTTATAATAAAAAACTATATTAGCTTTAATATAAGCTTTTATTAACTTAAGAGTAAATAGCATAAGTTACATTAATAGAGAACTAGCGTGTAAACTAAATCTTTAATTAACACTACTTACCTAAATAATTTACCTAACTAAATTTAATAAAAAATAACTTAAAAAAGGTTTTATTTTTTATACTATAACTATTATAATTACTTACTAACACTATAAGAAGTAAATTAAACTTTATGTAATAAATATAAGATGTTATAACCTAATCTTAGAATAACTATAGCTATATTAGCATAAAGTTGCTTTTAATTACTAAGAGTAAGTTCTAAACTTTAACTTTTTTTAATGCTAAGATGTATACTTACACTTACACCTAAATAACATCTAAATAGCACTTAATATAAAAAGTTTTTAAACTTACTTTTTAATAACTTAAAAAAAAACTACCTAAGTAAGGCTAATAAGCTAGGCCTTTTACTAAGATAAGCTATGTAAAATAATTTAATAACTGCTTAAACTTAAAAAAAAAAAGCCTTTAAAAAACTTTTACTTACCTAATTTAAACATAAACTAGGACTTAAACAGCAGATAGACATCTGCTACATAGGACTTACTCTGTTTATAACTTTAGCTTAATAACTAGATTATAAAATCTACACAGTTATAATTTCTAATATAGACTAAGCTTTAGCTCTCTAAAAACGCACTAACTTAAAAATAATAGTCTCTTAAAACTACTATAACTTATTATATGTCTTTTTCTAAGATAAGTCTAATAAGCTTTTAATATAATGTTTATATAATTACTAGATAACTTTTAAGCCTAGTAAACAACCTAGTTATAAGCTACTATATAGAATGTTACTAAATAAATTAAAAGTGCTTTAAAAATACCTTAATAAGAACCTAAAAAAAAGTTTATTTAAGCTAGCTTTTTACTAGTAGCATTACTTATACTATTTATAAAGAAACTTAAAGGTAGGCTTTAATTCTATGTTAACTACTAAGAACTAAATACTGTTACTATTAAAAACTAATACTTAATTTTTTTTTTATAAGAAACTCTAAGCTAACTAAGTAAAGTAAAGTATTTTATAAAGTTAGATATTATTACTACCTTTAATAAGCTAAAAATAGTAAAGGGTAATAAGTAGCTAATAGTGTTTTAAACCTAATATAGACTATTTAAGTACCTAGTAATGCCCTTTAGCTTAGCTAACACGCCTAGTACTTTTTAATATTTTATAAATAACTTACTCTAACTCTACCTAGATGTGTTCTGCACTACATATATTAATAATATTCTAATTTATAGTAATAGCTTTTTAAAGCACAAACAGCATGTACACTTAGTGCTAAAGGCTATAAAAAAAGTAGGTCTACAACTTAACATAAATAAATGTAAGTTCTACTAATTAAAGGTTATATATTTAGGATATGTAATCTCTATAAATAGCATCTAAATAGACCTTATTAAAGTTTAAACTATGCTAGATTAGCAATACTTAAAGGACATAAAGAATGTTTAAGCTTTTATAAAATTTACTAACTTTTACTAATAATTTATTAATAACTTTTTATAGTAAGTAAGCTTTATAATTACACTTACTAAAAAAAAAATTTAATTTAACTTTAACTTAAATTACTAATAGTCTTTTAACTAGCTAAAAAAAGCCTTTACTAAAGCTCTAATACTCTACTACTTTAACTTTAAACTACTAATACTTATAGAAGCTAATGCCTTAGACTATGTAGTAGCAGGAGTTTTTTTCTAGACTAAGCTAGATAGGACTATTAGGCTTATTACATACTTCTTAAAAAGAATAAGTTTTATAGAAGGTAATTATAAGATTTATAATAAGAAATTACTTACTATAGTACACTACTTTAAATAATAGCAACTTAAACTAGAAAGTGCAGCGCATCTAATATAGGTTTTATCTAACTATAAGAACTTATAGTACTTTGTAACTATAAAATAACTTAGCTACTAATAAGCTTATTAGTCTAAATACTTATTTTATTTTAATTTTAAGATTACTTATTATTCTAGTTAAGATAAAGAGAAACTAGATGCTTTTATAAGGTAATCTTAAAACATTTTTACTTAGAAAGAAGTGTAAAAAGCTTAACACTAAACTTTACTTTAACCTAAGCTATTTTTAGACCTTAACTTAAATAAAATAGATTAAATAATTAATTAGATTATTACTAATAAGTATCTAAATAATAAATTTATTTAAGAAACCTTAGACCTGCTCTAAAACAGCGCTAGTTAGTTAAAAAAGGTAACACTAGCTAACTATAAAAACTAAAATAGTAAGCTATACTACTATAACTAACTTATAATCTCTAATTCTAATAAACTAAGAATTAAACTACTTTAAATTATACATAACTTACCTGTTAAAGAACACTTAGGTAGAAAAAAGACTCTTAACCTACTATAAAGAGAGTACTACTAGCCCTGCATATTCTATACTGTACGCTAATATGTATTATGTTGCTATACTTACTGTAAAGTAAAGGCCTCTTAAGAAAAGTATAATAGCCTGCTTAAACTACTCCTAATTTTTAAATAAGCTTAAAAAGATATATTAATTAATTTTATTATAAACCTACTTTTATCTAAAAAGTATATAAATATTATAGTAGTTATTAATTACTTAACTAAGTATTAACACTTAATACTATGTTCTTCTATAACTACCCCTAATATAGCCTAGTTATTCTACTAATATGTATAAGTTTACTATAGCCTGCCTAATATAATTATATTAGACAGAGGTACACAGTTTGTCTTAGCTTTCTAGAACAAACTCTATAAACAGCTTTAAATTATCTTTTATCTATCTACAGCTTTTTACCTAGAGACTAATAGCTAAACTAAGAACATAAACACTATAATAAAATAAGTCTTATAAGTGTATATAAACTACTAGTAAGATAACTAGGTAAAATAGTTAGCTATAGTATAGTTTAAAGCTAATAACATAACATCTAAATTAATATAAGTATCCCTATTTTTAGCAAACTATAGATACTACCTTTAAATAGGATTTAAACTGCTTTTAAATACCCCCTAACTAACTTATTAATCTGTATAAGTAATAGATATAAATAAACTTATTAATAAAATTTAAAACATATTTAAATACATTTATAAAAAGCTTATATAGGCTTAAGCTTTTTAACAAAAGTACATAAACTAATTTTAAACCTCTACTCCTACATATGCAGCTAGCAAGAAGGTCTAGCTAAACACTAAAAATATTTAAATAAACTAATAATTAAAGAAACTTAATTAGAAGAACCTTAGCCTTTTTATAGTAGCTTATATAGTCTTATTACATGCTTACTAATTAATCCTACCTAACAGCATAAAGATACACCTTGTGTTCTATGTATTGTTGCTGCGCTAAGCAGCCTTTAAATCTAACTATCTACTTAGACAGCTAAACCTGCTACCTAAACTTATTATTATAAATAATAAACTAGAATATATTGTAGAAGACATTAAATAAATCTAGTTTAATAAAAAAAAACGTATCTATAAATACCTTATAAAATAGACTAGATATAATAAACTGTTGTAGGAACCTGTAAAAGCCCTATAAGAGAACTTTATAGTAACCTAATTCTATGCCTAATACCTATCTAAACTAAACCTATACCCTAACAAAGACAACCTAATGCTAGAACTACTAATGTAAAGAATTCCCTTCTTAATAAGAGAGGGGGTACTGTTACAGTATCCTCTCTAGATCCTAGACATAACTGTATTAGATGTGTACTAGAGTATTATTAGTGCACGTTTAATATAAATATAACATAACATAGACATAAACTTAAGCATAAACTACTTTAATACTAACTAAACCTAGAACAGGCTTAATTTATACTTAAAGTGTTTAAACTTCTAAGCTAAGTATTTAATTGCTAATTTTCTTCTAAACCTTCCTGTTTCTCACACAACGTCTTGTACCTACTATAATACCTTACATAGTAATTAAACTAGACCTCCGTGAAGCTCTATAACCTTACTCGTGCACAATTGTGACAGACCTCTACAACTAATTTATCCTTAATATAATCCTCCTCCTTATCCTTATTGCTAGTAATTAGTGTAGAGGCCTTCTTCTTGCTCTTATTAGCTAATTAGATGTCCTTTTTAAGTTGTGTAGCAGCTTTTTAAGCAAACTTTGCCTTCTTTTTTTAAGCTGCCTTAACGCGCTGCTCTTAGAGTTAGATTTCTTTTGCTACTACCTTTATGCGCTTCCTCTCCTCTAGCATACGCGCCTTCTCTGCCTTTTTTGCCTCTCTAAGCTTTATTTTCTTATCCTTTTTAAGTTATAGAGCCTTCTTATTAGCATCTTTTTAAGCTTAGAGATTACGTGCTTTACGTACTTTAGTTAGCAACTAAAAGACTGCTCTACTATTATACTTAGGTAGAGCTTTAAGCAGGAGAGGCTTCCTACGCTGGCGGCAACGCTTCTTATTAAGAAGAGCTTGTTTAAGATGTTTAACCTTATGCTAGAGCAGGTTGTTATAACATAAAATTGTGTAAATAGTTTAACTAAGCTAGCGTAACTGCTTACTATAAATATTGTTAACAACCTAGCGTAAAATCCTCTTAATCTTCCTCTAATTAGAAGCGCCTAGTACTAAAGTAGTACTATTACTAGAGGATAGCTAGTCCTTCTTCTTAACATTAAATTATACTAGGATTACTTTTAGATTAAATAGAAATAAACTGCATGTTTTAAATGCCTTAAGGATAGTATTTAGTTTAAATAACGTTAGCTAGGCTTTGTTAAACATGCAAAAAAAGTCTCTTTTTATAATAGTTAATAGTCCTTAGCACCTATACATAAAATCTGCTAGCTTAGCTAAGTAGGCAGTTAATAGAGGCTTAAACATGTAGACATCTAGAGGCTGCAGGGTATAAGTTAAATAAGGTAGATAGATAGCTAAGAGGATCCTATTATTGTTATAATACTTAATAAAATCTATAGTAACATGCAATCTATAGCTATCTAGGACTAATAGTTAATAAGAGCGTTAGGCCTTCTGTTTTGTCTCCCTATTAAACACCTGTTTAAGCTATGCAAGGCCTAGCATATTGCTTGTCCACCTACTAGGAGATAAGAAAAAAAAGGCCTTGTGTTTATTAAGGTTAAAGTTTTATAACTAAGTGTTTTATATGTTGCCTAAAGCAGCCTAATAAATTAGTGCTAGTGTAAGAGAAGTCCTATTAGCGCATATGTAAGCTATAGTTGTAATCTACTTGCAATTGCTGTCCTAGATTATCTGCTTAATGCCACCTTCTTTATATTACTGTTTAGAGAAGATTCTTTTAACTTTTAATAGTACACTAATTAAGAAGCCCTTTTTATTTATATTGTAGATGTGGCGCGACTCTATGCTATAATTATTAATTTTCCTCTATAACAGCTTAAAATAGAGCTTATATTTAAAGGCTAAGTTAGCTCTTTTATAATTAGAATCTATGCTAGATGTCTATTAAGATATAAGCTTAATGTCCTGCTGCTTAATAAAGCAATTAACCTAGTTTTTACTAGCCTATTTCCTAGCTATTTCTAAGGCAAAATTGCGTATTATAAGCCTTATAGGCGGCAGTCCTTTTGCGTAAAGCTTGTTAAGGTATTTAGAGAGTTCCTTTTCTTGTACGTTGTTAAGGAGTTGTTGATTTTTGTGCTTCTCTGCATAGGTGCCCTGTGTAAGGCCAGGATGGCGCTTACGTGTAAGGCCGAGATGGTGCTTACGTGCGACGGGTATATATACTATTCTGTACGCAATAATCAACTGTTGGTTGATTATTCGCACCTTTTTGGTTGTATTGGCGTAGTGGTACAGAGCTCCGTCCTTACACCCTGCACCCCGCGGTGGCGCTTTGATAGTGTAGAGCGACAACAACCAAATTTTTTCGCTGTCGCACTATAATTAGGTTTTTCTCCAAGCTTCAGCAATTCAAATGACGCCAGCGCGGCCTCAATTGGGTCCATATTGGTGGAGATAAGCTTGATTGAAAAGTTGATGAATTTTGGTTGTGTGTGCGTTACGAGGGGCCGTGCGTTAAGCGATGAAACACGGTAAGTAACCTGAGCTGTGGCTGAGCATGCCTGAGCTCGCCATGAGCCAACTAGTCGGAGCGCCATTTCTAGTAGGTTGTGCTATTAGAATTACAGCGAAAAGCATCTGGACTGGGACGAGGAGAAGAAAAACAAACTGACACGGCTCTAAAAAAGTTCGTCTCTGTCTTTCTCATCCCTTGATTGAGTAAGAGTACCCGCATCTACTTAGTCGTCCAAGTCTTTTGCCCTGATGCTTCTTTTTGGCTAATTTTACTACTTCTGGATTTATGAGAAATGATGACCACGAAGATGGCGCTTCCGTAGCGGGCAGTGGAGTTTATGCATTGGCAGATGGGTTGTGAGGACATGGTATCGCGAGCAAACGCTCTGGTGTTTCAATTGCACCTCAGTATGAATACCCCAAATCCAGCCGCCAAGTCATCCATTACACAGCAACCCGCAATTTTCCTAACTTAGAGCTGGTGGTCATCCGAAACCATGCGCTCAGCTCCTTCGTCGCCATGGTTGGGTGTCACGTTACCAGTCACGTGTTTAGTCACCACTATTTGTAGTTAGCCTACCTACGGGGTATGTATAGCTTCCGCTTGCCCTTCTATTGAGAGGCAGATCCGACCTTCCTACAATACACTCTTTCTGTCTAGCTTCGCACATCTGACATTGGGGATGTCTGAGGCCGCAAGGCTGTTGGCCTTGTTGAGGCCGCTTAAAAGGTGGTCAGACCGGTCAAGCCGCGACCTACAATCAACTTCAACAACTTTAGCGGTACTTGCTCCACCAACTTCCAAACATACGAATTCTTTCCCGATCGTAATCAGCCCTCCTCCTTGTCATTCTCCCGTCAGCGGCAGGGAAATCTCCTTCCAAGATGGCCGACTTCGCTTTTATGGGTCCCATTATTGAGTACACAGTACGATCCCTACCCGTCTCCGGTGTAGGCGACGATCCTCTGGGAATTGCCCAAGTCAGCGGATTCTACGGACCCGGGACCTGGTCGGCATGGTATTCCACCATCATCGCAGCTTGGATACAGTTGCTGGTGCAGCCGAAAAGGACATTGGATCCGAATTCCTGGTTCTATATTTTAGGCATGAATTGGGCAGCAATAGACCTTTTTCGTCAAGTTCACTCTCTTCGCACCGCACAAGAACAAGGCCACTCCCTCGATCTTAGAAAAAAGTTCATGGGCCCGATTGCAGCGCCATACATGATTGTTTTTTGGGGATCGGTCCATGCTGTTCTTCAAAATGTGGTCGCCTTTTTCGCTACGGTGCTAATTATCACCACGGATAAGAAAACCAAGGACGAAATCGACATCGAGGACCTGCGGGCTTGGTTTCGGGTTCTCTTCTCGCGCCGACTGGTTCTGTCCATGGGACTAATACTACCTTTGACGGCACTATCTGTCTTGTTTTTCAACCCACCACTGCAGGAGGACTTTCCAAAGGAAGAGGAACACTACATGTTCTTTCCCGCTCTTTACTGGGAAGGAATCAGAGGCGAACATGTCACCAGCGTTTTCTTCGCGGGCTGGGGAGGTCTAGCCTTGCTTCCCATCTTCTTGGTATACACCATTTTGATTCTTCTTCCCATCACAGAAGGGTGTTTTCGGCTCGTCATTGCATTCTTACACCCTCCCATTGCACGCATGCAGTCCCTTGTTGCATCCATTAGCTCTTTGCTTGGCCGCTCACTGCTACTCTCGATTATGGTACTGTGGTTGCATACGTTTTTGTTGCTTTTCAAACGTCCTTTATTTGTTCTAGCGTTTGGTTTGTTTGGCTTACTATTTTTATGTCAATTCATTGTAGGAATTTTCATGCTTCTGGGCATTATTGGCTTCTTTTTCATCCCTTCAGCGGTTTTGCATTATTTTTTTTATATTCTTAGGGGGACAAAGGTATCTGAGTCCTGTTTCTTAATGCCATGCGCACCACAGTCGATATATGACTGGGACCAGGCATTCTCCTTGACAGCAGGACTCATCCTACTAGTCTTTACAGAAATTGTACCAGGTGTTAGAAAGGGCGTGCGGCTCTTTAAAAGGCTACGAGAGAGAAAAGAAAGTATCTTGGAGTTCCCCCTGGGCGATTTGAATGCAGCTAAGCCTGAAGAGGTGGAGATGGCAAATCTAGAGGCTGGTCTTGGTAGTGGTAGCAATCAAGAATAAGATAGGACCTAAGTGGCGAACGTGGTAATTCTCTGGCGGTTACATACCAACGAGGTCTGATTCTGGTATTGGTTTGAGCGAGCCCTCGGAGCCAGCAAGAGCACCAGTAGCGCGGATGGTATGAAGTTGCTATAGGGCATAAGAGATCCTTCTTGCTGCGTTCGAGTGGTGTTGATTCTTATTGGACTCAGCTGATTGCTGAGTAGCTGGGTGGTGTGTCGGTGGTCTTGGGCTAAGTTATTGACTTATTGTTAGCGATGAACTTCAATCAAAGAATTTTGCATGTTAGACATCATAGTCATCAGTGTGAAAGATGGTTTGAATTCAGACGTCCATTCAGGCAGCTATTATAATCTCAACGTCTATTAACACCCGTTCCTCGGTAGATGAACCTGCAAAGGGTGGAACATCCGTCAATGACCGCGCGAGAGAGATCAGCGAACTCATCGCACACAGCTTGAAGCCGCTGGGTCATGAAGTGGCTGAGAGAAATGATCTAACTTCTTCTAGCGGCGGAGTCTCTGCGCCCAGCTCCGATAGATAAATTACAGTCCAAAACTTATGTAAAGCTCACGTAAGGCCCACATCTCAGGCATCCTGATTCAAGGCGGTATAGCTTTGAAGCCTCAGGTACCGAGCGGCCTCTTTCTCTATTTTGGACGATATCGCAATCTACACCGGCACCAACGCGAAGAACGACTTAATATAAAATTCAGTTCTCTCAACGCTTCTAGACTTATCAATCGATTCTTAAATTAATTAGAGCCTCAGCGTAGAGTTGTGGTTTCTACGACTCAATTTTGCTAAAAAAAAAAAAAAAAAAATGTCTCTCCACTAAACAGGCGGCGGCGCGAGGGCATAATCGTAATTTTTAGATTTAAGGGAAACAACAAGCTTACAAATCCCAATGCACAGGATTTATATAAATGTATCTATATCTAGGCATGTAGGCGACGTAAAGATAGCTGTAAAGGCGAGGTACCTGCAATTTATCCAATCTTAGGGGGCGTCCAGCCACCTAGGGACTAACTCTACTTTAACTTTAAAGTAATACACATTCTGCACACGTCTTCATTTTTTTGTCTCGTTTAAGTACATGTGCCAAAGCTAATCCAGAATCCCTATAACCCTAACTACATAAAAATTACATTCGTATAACTTAGACGCTGTGACGGCGCGTACCTCGCCTTAATACTATGGCATAACAACTTGCATTCCGACAACATCTTTGTTAATGAGAATAACCCCACAGAGATCACAGGTATTATTAACTAGCAAGACGTGCATCTTAGTCCTGCCTTTCTCCACGTTCATTATCCCTCTCTAATTAAATACAATAGGGTAATATTACATGGTTTTAAGAAGCCTAAACTGCCTTCAAACTTTGTAGAGTTAGACCTAGTCACAAAAGAAAATGCACAAAATCTGCACACAGCCCAATCTATCTAGGGACTCTACTAGATATTTATTCACAGACAAGCCCCAGACCTACTACGCATACTCCGCTACCGCGATACTCTTCCATGTTAGATCATGACTCTAATCAGATCTATCTTTGATGATGTTGAAGCCTATATTCAGAGCTTATTATCGCAGCTCGCAGAACCGGCAATATGGAAAACTGGGGTCAAGACTAATAGCCAAGAAGCTGTTAAAGTACCTTGTCCTCTCGTCTACTCAATAAGCTTTCGAAGCAGAAAGGCGAGTTAGCTAGATGGGTAAAGGACATAAAGCGGAAGGCGCGGGTGATCAAAGAAGTCGGTGCATACACAGGGTGGGATGGAGTAGTTTCGCCGGAGGAGTATAGCATGACGTCCGAGAAAATAGAGAAAGCTAAGGAGAGGTTTCCGGATGCAGAATCAAACACCCCCGAAGAGCGAGAGCAATGGGCGAACGTTTGGCCATTCAGAGATAGATGAAATTCGATAACGTATCGCGTGCAAAGGTGTGCAATGTGGGTGAGGTTCGCGACTCGTTTGTGAGCTACGTTACAGGCGATGAGCTTTATGGAAGAGGAATAGTATCCTTAGCGGTTTAAGGAAATGATGAAAACGATAAGTTGTATCTAGCGCTATGGGAAACCCGTCCGAGCATGATCGCAAAGAGCCTTTCCATTACGGCAACCACGCCACTCGAGACTCTCACGGTGTGGACGGGCTTGCGACTCTCGCATGAGCTGAGAAGGGGTCATAGGGTAGGCCAGTTGACAAGGTATTGAGATTCAGACAAGGTGAATTGAACCAGTGTATTGTAAGGTCTAAGGAGCGAGAGAGAGCTCTAGGGTGACTATATACCGTACAAGAAAGGAGCTAGTCCTAATGAGTGAATGGCGCAGTACATGGGAATGGTATCGCGTGAGACACGTGCGGCAGCGACTTGGACTAGCGTTACTATTGAATTCAATTCAATGGCCCGAATCTAGGAAACTTTATCATCAAGATATTTAGACTATTTTTAGGCCTAAAGATGGAGCCCAGTTCTAGGACAGTTCGTGTGCTGGAGAATGGGCCATCAGAATGAGCGGCAACCTAGGCGTCCTCTACGCGGACCAAGGCAAGATGACCAAGGCGACGGGGGAGATGTTCGAGCAGGCGAAGTGAGGGAAAGAGAAGGCATTCGGTCCTAACTACACGTCGACACTAAGCACGAGCAACAATCTAGGCCTTCTCTGCAAGGACCAAGGTACGCTAGCCGAGGCCGAGCACATCCTCGAGCGGGAATTGCGAGGGTATGAGGAGGCTCTGGGAGAAGAACTTGTTCGAAAGTACCGGCTAGCAAGAAAAGCATGTCCAGGCTAGAGCGATGTACTTAAGCGCTCTCTCTAGGCTCCAGTCTCTTCTTGACCCCTCGCACAGTGACTGTCAACGTCTTGCAGGCAAGATCGATGCCGTAGGCTTCATCTAGTGAGGACCAGAAGGCACTTTTAAGCCTACAGTGATAACAGAATCATCTAAGATTGCCACAATGAAAGATAGCAAGCTGTGGAAATTGGCCATGCGCAACCTTGGTAATAATGTGATTCAATAGTCATCCGGATAAGATCTTTGTTGTTGGTTGTAACTTAGTTATGCTAGAAGCCGCTGCACCGATTCATTTCCACCAGAAGCGGCAAGCTGTCGCGCCGTCCAGCTATGTGGTTCTTCCGCCTAGAGGTCGGCGACGAGCTCTTGCTTCAGGGGCAGCTGGCGCAGACGCTTACTTAAGCACCACGCGGCCCCAAGCACATTACCATTGTAATCAACACCAGCACCGTCGCCGACGTCATCGCTAATATCATCAACATTATCCTTACCGTCCTCTCCATACCATTAAGTTTCCGCCTCGACATCGGCGTCTCTCTCTAGTAGCAGCCGCACTACCTCACCATGCGCCATCAATGGTACAATGTGTAGGGCCTAAAGTATTTCTAAGTCCTAGCCTCAACTCTAGGCCCCCTCTTTAATAGCAGACGTACCGTCTTATCATCCCCGATGTAGGCCGCCAAATAGAGAGCGGTAGACCCACCTCGTGTCGTCAATTCCATATCTGCCCTAATTTTCAGTAGTAACTTTTCTACTACATAGTCTCTTCTAGAGTTGTTATTAATAATCTAATTCAGCTAATTAGTAATTAAGAATTCTTAGCACTAGAAATTATGTTCTAAACTACTTTAGATAACTTACAACTAATAAATTTTCTTTATAATATTTTTAAGTTTAAGTTTAATATAACATACACTATAGACTAGTTGCTTACTTACCTAAGTTACTTACTTTTACTAAAACTCTACTAAACTACTCTTTCTACACTAATGTACTCTTAATAACACTACTTAAATGTGCTAAAAGAATATTAGATAACGTACTTCATAGGCGAGTTGCTCACACACCTGAGTCGCTTACTTTTGCCAAGACCCCACCCTAACAAACTCTATTATAGCCCATAACAACCTGCTCTAGCACTATATAGTACAGTACAGCCTAGAATATTATTTAGATACTACCTCTGCTTCTTACTTACACATTTGCGTGTTATGCCTAGTCTAATTACACTATCTACAGCGCCTTTAGAATAGCTTACCTACTTTAGCTTACACCTGCTTCTTTACCTTCTTCCTATTACTACGCACTTTAAACTCCTTTAGAGCTATTAAGCGTAGGCTTTCCTAAATTATTAAAGTCTTTTCTGCCTTAATTTACTTTTTTTTATGTAATTTATGTTGTGTAGTAGCCTTATTAGCTGCTTAAAGCTTAGTAATTTCTTATTACACTAATACTAGCTTATGCGTAATTATTACTACCTTTTTTAAAACTTTTTTAAACACTTTAACTATAAAAGTTAGTAAACTATTTATATGCTTTTAAATTTTTATTTTTATAAGCATTAATTATAACTTAAGTTCTAAAGTATTGCTTAGGGTTTACAACTACTAGAGCTTATTATATATAAGTAGTAGTAGTAATAAAGTGTGTAACTTTATATTAAGGCTTATTATAACTTATTATAAGTTAAAAAAACTAATCTAGCGCCTTAAAACTTTTTTTAGATATTACTAAAAGTAATTATAGCATTATAAGCTACTTTAAAGCATAGTAAAAACTTTATTTTTATAATATAAGTAATCTAGTTGCGCATAAGGTTTTTAGCTTAGCACTTATACACTTTTTTTAAAAAAGTAAAATAACTTACATTAAGTAGCTATAAAAAGTGTAATAAGTAAAAAAGCATATAAATAGTAATAATCTTATTATTTTTATAGTATTACTAAAAATAAAGTAAGTTGTAGCTCTTATAGCTGTTAATAACTAGTAGATAGTAGCTACTAATAGTACACTTTTTTATATGCATATTAAAGTGCTTTAACTAGTTTAAACTAAGCTAATTAGTAGTCTAGCTGCGCTTAGAAATTATAATAACTTAATTTTAAAGTAGATTTTTTTTTATACTAGTTTAAAAAGTAGTTACTACTCTAAAAAATAATAAAAGGCAGAATAGCCTACTTTTTAGCATTAATACCTTAGATAGCTGTTGTCTACTTCTAGTTGCCTAGCTAGACTGCTTTTAGCTGTTCTTATCTCTCTAAACCTATAATAACTGCTTTAGTAGATATTTAGCTTATTATAAACTTTATTTTGTTAAAGTTGTACATGTTATTATTTTAGATACTATACTTAGCTTTAATATTCTTTATAAGGTTAAACTAGCTTTAAATTACTATAAGATCTTTATAAAAAGCTTTTTTATAGTTATACTTACACTTAAACTTTACTTTAAGCTTTAGGTAACACTTAATAAACATATTAAGCTAGTTTATACTAATATAGCCTATATTACACTTAGCGTGTAAAGAATTAGCTATATTAGCTATAGCTACTAGCTAGGGGGGAAATTCTTACACATCTAGCTTAAGTATGTGCTAAATAATTACTTACTTCTTATTATTATTTAGCTTTTATAAGTTAGCTATATAATTAGCTTAAAAAGGTTATCTAGCGTGTTAGTTACTTATTATTTTTTAAAAAACTTTATAGATAGCTATAGCGTGTTAGTTAAAAAGTATTATGTTTTATTTAAAAGCTTAAAGTGTAAGCTACATCTAACATTCCTTTAACATGTTTAAGTAGTGTTGTTAGAAATGCATTAGTATAAAAAGAGTAGTGTAGTAGGGTCTTAGTAAAAGTAAGCAACTTAGGTGTGTAAGCAACTTGCCTATGAAGTACATTATAGCTTACACTTTAATCTGTGAAATAAAACGTCGCGTAAGAAGAGCATAGAGACCTAGAATCGCGTACATGGGCCTAGTGTCGCGCCTGTGTTTCGGACAAGCAGCCTAAGACACTTGGCGCCTAAGCTTCTACTACATAGGCAGGCTCTCTATAAGCCTTATATAGTTAATAGACTTGCTTCTTATTGCTCTCTCTAACTAGCAGTTGCAACATAAAATATAACACTTTTAAAGTAACATACACTACAGGCAAGTTGCTTACTTAACTAAGTTACTTACTTTTGCTAAGACTCTACTAACCTACTTTTTTTATACTAATACATTTCTAATAATATTACTTAGATGTGCTAAAAGAATGTTAGATATAGCTTACACTTTAAGCTTTTAAATAAGACGCAACACTTTTAAAGTAACATGCTGTAGCTATGTATAAGGTCTTTTAAAAGATAATAAATAACTAACACACTAAATAACTTTTATAAGGTAATTCTATAGCTAACTTATAAAGGCTAAGTAATAATAAAAAGTAAGTAATTATTAAGTACATACCTAAGCTATATGCAGAAAGATTTTCCTCTTAGATAGTAGCTATAGCTAATATAGCTAATTTTTTACACGCTAAGCATAATCTAGGCTATGTTAGCATAAACTAACCTAGTATGTTTATAAAGTAGTATTTAAAGCTTAAAGTAAAGTTTAAGCGTAAGTATAACTATATAAAAGCTAGTTTAGCCTTATAAAGAATATTAAAGCTAAGTATAGCATCTAGAATAATAACATGTACAACTTTAATAAGATATAATTTATAATAGGCTAGATATCTACTAACTATACTTGCGCTTAAAACTTTACTTTAAGCTTTACATAACACTTTATAAACATACTAGCTTAGATTATGCTTAGCGTGTAAAAAATTAGCTGTTTACTTAGCTTTAGATAATATTCTAGGCTTACTTAGCGCTTCTTTTTTTTTTATAAACTAACATGTGTATTGTAATAGCTATAAATATCTTCTAGGATAGTGTTAAAGCAACACTAGATATATTCTTCTTCTAAGAGAGTAAGCTTTATAGGTGTAATAAGGTAGACGCCTTGCCTGCTAAGTCGATACTATACAACTTTCCCTACTGTACTAAAAGATACGCATAAGAATACTTAAGCTAAGTATTCTCGCATAGTATAATATATATATAGATAATGCAAGGGCTAGCACTAGCACTAGCGGTTGTCTCTAGTCTAGCCTAAACCTCTATAAGCGAGAGAAGGCTACGTAGTTAACTGTGCCTACCTTGTTACAATAGGCTTAGATTCTTCTATACGTTAATACGCTTTTGCTTAAAATAATAGTAAATAAAGACTCTTGCTATTCTAAGCCTAACAATATCTATAGTAGAGTCACACTTAATTGTCTTAGCGTAATAAAGGCTTGTAAGTATTGTCGCGTAAGAGAGCACATGGTCCTAGTGTCGCGCCTGTGTTTCGGACGAGCAGCCTGAGACACTTGGCGCCAAAGCTCCCACTACATAGGCAGGCTCTCTATAAGCCTCTTATAGTTAATAGACTTACTTTTTATTACTTCTTAATTAGCAGTTGCAACAGTTATAGGCCTAGTTAGTGTAAATTTCTCTATGTTATGTTAATTAAAGCACTTATCTATTCTTTACTTCTTATTATTTGCTTTTATTGTCTCTCTCTTTTTACTAAAGCTATAGATTAACTAGTAAATGTTGCTACACTTTTAATAAGTGTTTAACTTATTAATTAATATATGTTTCTACTATAGTACGCGCAGCTTAAATACCTTATGTAAGCTTAAGGTGTATAGGACTAAATTAACTTAGACGCACTACTATAGCCTAATCTAATAAGTAAAGCACCTGTAATCCCTAATCTTAATATAGCTAACTTAGAGGCTCTCTGCCTTTATTAGATTAAGGCATTAATATACACACAGCTTTTTTTAAAGCTCTAGGTGCTGTAGAACTAGTGTAAGGCCGAGATGGTGCTTACGTGCGACAGGTATATATACTATTCTGTACGCAATAATTAACTGTTGGTTAATTATTCGCACCTTTTTAGTTG